CTTGCTTATACAAATTTTCTTTTTTCTATCTCCTTGTGTAAGTTTGTAAATCCCAAGAAAGCAGAGATTTTAACTCACAACGGTATCTCTAGTGCCTAGAACACTGCCTGCCATGTGGTAATGACCAATAACAATGGATTGAATTAATGAATTAATTTATTTTTGTCCTTATTAATGCTTCAAAAATACATATAAAATGTTTAATACTTTAAGGATGTGAATTTTCCATTGTGAACAACTTTGTTTAGAGGGTTAGCAACACTGTAATTCATTTTCATAAACATTATTCTCTAAATAGTACAATAAGTACATTTGATATTTTTCTCTGTGCAAGGAATTACTTGGCATATTGTTTAATTTCCAAGGTTTACATTTTTTTGTTTGTTTTTAGCCATTACGGGAATCCTAAGAATTCTTAAGCAGAGGTTAAATGCATCAAAGTTAGGGACTAGCCCAGAAATGAAAAGAAACCCCAAGTTGGTAAATCATGCAATAATATACAGACTTTAATATACATAGTACTTGGATAAACCAAAGTGATGATATTACTAATATCCTCTAATTTGTTTTTTTGATTTTTGATAAAAAAAATACTATTGTATTTCTGATCATTTTCTTGGTATGATTGTTTTGCTTTATAAACTTCAATACACCAAATATCTATTGTGTAAACTTCATTACAATTCTACCTTCATTGCATACTAAATCCTCCACAAATAAAAAGTGACCTTCTTTTTCAATTTAATGCTTTTATTCCTTGAATTAAACTTTGCTACTGACCTGGTGGCACCTGTTCTCCTTTTGTCTGCATTTTCCTGGAATAGAAGATAGTTGTTTTCTTTTGCTTTTGTTTTTTAACTTGACTTTTTATTATTATTATTGTTATTTCTAAGAGCTGGGTCTACTTCGCTTAGAATTTTGTTATAATTCCATAATGATTTCCACAAGCATATTTTGTTATTTTTAGTGCTTTTTATAAGTTTTTTTTCTATCTTCTCCTTAACTTTTTATTTTCTTTACATTTTTTCCTCTCTAGTAATATGAATGTGGGTTTTTAAATTCTACTAGTGAAACTTCTGACAGTTAACTGTTATAAATTTTATTTCTCATTATATCAATTTCAGAAATTAAATTATTTCTACTGACTCTCATTTATGAGAAAAAAGAAATTAATACTTTTATAAATGTAAAAATTGTATAATTCTTCCATGTTTTTCTCTTCCATGTTTTTCATAACCTTCAGTATCTGTTGACACAGACTAAAACTTTTACCTTAGTCTATTTGGGTTTCATTATTATGATTTTGCCACTACAGCATATCATTTTTGTTTTGAAATTTGAGTTATTGATAACAGAATTTATGGCTATGATTTCAAATTGAGGCAATTTTTAAAGGATTGATAATTATCTATAATGTGCTACCTTTCATGTACAAAAGAAGCAATATTTAAAAATATACATGTACTTGCTCACCTGTGCAAAATAAATGTTTATTTATATACATTTTAGAAGTTTATCTTCTATTGCAAGCAATATATCAGATTAGATAATTTAACTTACACTCTTGAAAAAACAATTTTAAAATTATTTAAAGGCTACATAAAGTATATTTAACAAATCTTTTATAAGACATAACTGGGCTGAGAAGGGTGGAAAGAATCCACAGAAATCCAAAAGGGAAGGAAGGAAACAAAGTAAGCCTGCGAGGTAACCAGGTCCCACAGCTGGCATTTTCCTCCAGGGTGTTAAAGGAAGCCTATATATGTTCTGACCTTTCCCCAGGAAAGCAGCGTGATGAACAGGAGACAAGAGATAAAAACCTAGGACCTTTCTATGATGAAAATCTAATAGAATTTTTAATTTCTGAAATTGATGTCATGACAAAGAAAATTTAGAGTTTGAAAAACATCTCAACCAGCTAATTTAGTTTACAATGGTTCTGGGCTGGCAGTACCTAAGTGACTAGCAGGAACAAATGTACATCTATCTCTGGGAAGGAACCACAAACCAGCACCAACACCAGTTTCAAGAACAGCCACTAAAGGGCCCCAGAAAGGATGGGAGTAACAGTAAAAACACAAACAAAAAGAAAACCATAAAACACATGAGCAAATAAGTCACCATCTGTGAGAGGCAGACGAAATAAAACCCAAGAAACTATATATCCAGAGGGAATATAAAAAGTACAGTTAATATATTTTGAGAAATAAAAGATAATAATATTTATCAACCTGAATTCTTTATCTACCCAAATATATATCAAGAAAGTAGGTAAAATAAAGTGGGTGAAACATTCAGACCAACAGAAACTGAAGGATTCCCATCAGAAGACTCTCACTCAGGGAAATTCTACAGGACACACTTCAGATGGAAGAAAAATGATCCCAAACAAAAGACTTGAGATGCAGGAAGAAACAATGGACAAGGAAAGTGGAAATTACGCAGATAAATCTAAAGAAACACCTGAGTGAATTTAAGACTTAGGGTAATGTTTTCTTCCTACCCACAGAAACCCCTGGGTTAGGAAGCAATAAGGGCCTCCGTACCTACGTAGAGTGCATAAAAGGAAAAATAGAGTGACCAAAACGCATAACTATCTCCCAAAATTATCCTCTCAGGTAGATAAGGCCCCTCTCTACCTTCAGAAGCTTACACTCTAGCGAGAAAGCCAAATATTGATAAACAAATAGTCACACAAATCACAGATAAACATGTGACTACAAACTCAGTTGGGTCTCATGAAGGAGAAATATACAATATAACAGAAGTGAAACACAGTGGGAAGGTCAGAGGAAGCTACAGTTCTGCTGCGTACCTGCTGTTCCTCGGGATATTCTGTGGAACAAGACAGACTAGGTCCCTGAGACGTGGGAGGGAAAGAAGGAACAGGGAACCAGTGCCCCTAAGAAGCAGAAAGAGTAAATAACTGACCTTAAGACTTTAGAATAAGGAGCCAGACTAAAGCCTGGGGGATATAATACCAGCCCCTTAATTAAGTTACAAAAGTGAAAGATAAGTATAAGTGAAGGAATTAGAATTGATATACACAAAATTACAATTTAGATAATGCAGATGGAAAAGCTTTTTCTGAATCATATATGAGGAAGCTACTTCATTGAGGTCAATGTATAAAGAAGTCTGCAAATAATAAAGCAAAAAATACAGCCACGTGATTAAGAACAGGGGTTTTGGAATCTAAACCAAGCTCTACAAGTCAGCGTTTGGGGACTCTCATTCATGTGTTTCAGCCACATGGTGCCTTGTGGGCTGCACTTCTCAGTCTCTGCAGAGGAGCTCTCCCCATTCTCTTTTACACATGGCAGAAGAGGGCCATCCTGCAGGGCAGCCTCAGTTCCAAGGTCCTTGTCACTTCTGTTGAGGTGAACAGCTAGAATTACAGTTCAATATCCAAGTTTTTGTAGAGAATCTGATGGGGTCCAGCTTGGGTCACATGTCTACCCCTGATCTCAAGAACCAAGATCCAAGGGAGAAGGTTCCAGGATACAAGCGTTACTGCCATGACCAAACTCGTAGCTTGTTTGGAGGTGATCTGAGAAGGAGTAATAGGACGTGGACTACCACAACTACACTGAGCTCATATACTTATCAGCCAATTATAAAAATAATGGCATATTGTATAAGTTAAAAATTCTTATTTTTAATAAAAACTCCAATATTTTAGAAATAATTTTTATATTGATAGGAAAAAGCAATACCCATTTGTTATTTTGTAGCTTAGTCATTTTAGTATACTAACAGTGTCTGAAATGTAGTTTATTTAGAAGTGATAGTAATAACTGAATAATGCAATTTAATAAATGTTCTTATCTGTCTGCTTCTATGAAAGGCACTAACAGGAGTGCTAGGGAAATACAAAAATGAGTAAGGAAATGTCTTTGCCCTAAATTAGTTTTTAATCTTGTGAGTTAACAAACATAAGTTATTATGATGCAAGGGAAAACAATGGCTATGGAAATGAAAAGGATTAGTTATAAGTTAATTAAATCAGCCAATAAATATTTTGTGTGCAACTACTTTCACGTTTTTGCATAACTGTATTATTCAAGGATAGTAGCAAACACCTCAGAATGCTTTTGGTCCTATTCCTATTAACATTTTATATAATCTAAATAGCACATATTTTGAGTACTCAAGAATACAGATATCATACTGCAAAAAGTTCATCCCAAATCTCAAATAGCAATGCCTAACACATAAGAAATACACAGTAAAAGTCTGCCAAATAAATTTATAAGTGGGTTTTATATATTTAAGCTATGAATATAAGTATTATTGGTTCAGATTATGCTAAAATACATTCTGTACTTGTTTGTAATAGCATAACAAAAACCAAATGCCAGTAATTGAACGTTTTGAAATACTTTTGAGAGTGCCCGTGCATGTTACATTTTGATAGCCGGCTGTGCTTGAGGCAAATTAGACCAGAAATGTGGGATCCAGTCTGCAGGTGGAAGACTTGGGACAGTCACAGCCAAGAATCCCCACCCTCTGAAGGGCCTGAGCCATGCGCAAGGCAGCACTCGGGAACTCTACTGTAAGACTTTGAGTCATCTTTGTAAACCTTAAAAATTACACAGAAAATGTTAAGCTTTTGTTCTCATTTTATTCTACTGTCATTCATGTATAAAAGGGGCACAGGCTCTCGCAAATGACATCCCATCCCACGGTGCTGAGACAGCTTTTGTAGAAAACAGTAAGTATAGAAATGCCATTCATAATATAGGATATCCCACACCAAAGCAAAAAATAATAATAATTAAGTTGAGAAATTATAACATTTTATACCTAAATGTCCACATATCAATAAAATTCTTGACTGGCAATAACCACATATACAAACAAAACACAAATTGAGTTCAAATTAAAGTACTTAGTTATGAAATGTCTGTTAAGTTGTTTGTAACTTAAGCTTTTTTTTTTTTAAAGAGATTGTGATATTTTCTTATCTAAAGCACCAAAATCTAAATTTAGATACTTACATTATTGCACTCTCCAAGGAAATACAGTGCAAATCCATCAGCGTTTGTGGCTGCCAAAGTAATAAAAAAGGAAGAAACTAATCTCAGTGGAAGAATATCACACGTATGAATTCTCTACAGTGAGACTCAGATATGAGGTCTTTTGTATCCATTTGGTAACATAATTGATGGTCACGCAGTAAACAGAACTAAATAATTTATGGCTTTACTCAATAACATAGTTAGAATATCTTCTATATTTGTCATCAGTGATTGTAAATTTTAAGATATGACATCCTCAAATACATACAGCAGTCAATATACTACGTAATCTATTAAAATACCAGAAATGACATTCACAATATTAGATTATTATATACCAAAATAAATATCAGCCAAAAAGGATGATGTATACATCTACACATTATCACGGAAATAAACATAATTTAACTTACCTCAAACTGCTTCAAGGTCATCCGAAGGAAATTACCATAGCAGCTAATAGCATAAGTCTTGGAGGGATTGCCTGAATTTGAACCCCTGCTTAACTCCTTTTTACCTTTCTGTCTTGGCTAAGGTATTTAACCTCTCTATTCCACAGCTTCCCCATCAGTAAAAGGGTGATAACAGAAATTATCTCAGGAGGTTGTAATGCAAATAAGTGAGTTAAGGCAAGTAGTATGCATAGAAAAGTGCCTAGCATGTACCTAACTAAGTACATAATAGATATCAGCACTATTTCTGGAACATGAGTATTTTTATTTTCAAACAAAAAAACAAAAGATATAATTGCTATAGTAGGTATCCTTCTAAAAAAAAATTATGTGCTGGGAAAAAGTGCATCCTTCTAAAAAAGTAATTTTCTGATATAACTTTCCCCATTCTAATTACAATATAAACTATTTCCTATATGGTATATACAACCATATCAACCATGTCATCAACCTAAATAAGTTTAAAAGCTTATTGTCCCTTAAAATTTAAGTATTTCCTTTACAAAGATGTGATTTAATTCAATAAAACTACGCTTTCCAAAGAAAACTAGGTGTTAATTAGAAGGCATAGTATATCCCAATTATTTGGGATTAGATAATTTAAGAATTTTTAGGTTTGAGTCATTCTGGTAATTTCATAAAAAATATTTTCATTTAACTTAATCCAGCAATAGAAGTAAATAAATGATTTTCATCTGCCCTCTTAGTAGGTAAATTAGTTATTGCCAGGTTTTACCAAAGAATCTTGGTCTGATTTTTCTAAGAGCAATACAAAATGTTTCTTACCTATTTTAATGATGCTACTCAATTCATAGAGGAGTAGTTGGTTGTCTCCTCCCGTATCCAACCGTTGCTCTATATAGCTGTTTAGTTCATATACAACTCCCTGCATATTCGTATCTTGGTACTTCAAATAAAAAAATAACAAAAATAAAAGGCACAGTTAAAGAAAACAAACTATAATAAAAATTCCTTAGTGTGTAAAACATGTTAGTGATACATATGACTTCATACAAACAGCTGTTCATTATGCTTTTATGTAGCATCACTGAACTATTATAATCTATTATATAAAACAAATATGAAGATCAGGTGATCAATGGAGTTTTAGCTCAAATCTGCCTCAAAAAGGAGCACCAGCTGGTTTTCAAACATATCCTACAGTAACCACAGTTTAGAATTCACATTTGGAGTAGACATGTTCAATAACTGGCAGAATTCCCACACTGAAGGATCCCCACAGAGGGAAGGGGTAGGGAAGTAAGACTTGAAGAAATCTGGGGCAAAAGTGTCCAAGTAGAGAGAACAAGAGAAATAAATTAATGAATATGACCAAAAAGCAGCAAAATAGAAACCTACCAAGCAATGTTTATGCTTCATCACAAACCTCAAAAGTACTGATTGCTACTATTAGGTTCTTACCTATTATTGCCATTCCCTGCATCTCTTTCCAAACACTGAGAGCCTCAACTCTATGATGAGGTTCTCTTACAGTTGTATGTTCTGTGCTTACATCTGCTGCACTCCTGGGCTGTACATACCATAGCTCAGGTCTGATTCCCCTCCCTTTAGTCTTGTGGATCCTACTAGCTTTGTTGCACACTCTACCATGGTAAACCACACTGGCCCTCCACCCAGTTTTTTTTTGGCTTTTTGTTGCTAAAAATTTACCTTGTTAACAGACATAACTTCCCAGTTATTAATATTTTCTAGGTCCAGGCTTTTTCCAACTCCTGTTCATATGCAGGTACCAGTTGACAGTCAGAATTTACATAAAAAATCATGAACACTTGAAATTCTGATGCCTCTAGGACACGACAGCATTTCAAGGGGGGGGAGGGTGTCACAAAAACTTACGTTGTTTCCTTTATCATCTATAAACAAGATCGTACTTGAGCTTTTTCATGTTTTGAATAACTCCAGATAAAATATTCTACTCTAACATAACCTTTCTTCCTTACTACTTATTCAAACTATTAGTTCTGTATTTTCTTTACCCCAAAGTCCTGGGAAAGGGCTTATCTGAGAATGAAGCTAACTAAAAAGAAACTTGAGCCAGAAGAGAGTGAGAGACTGAGTCATATGACAAACTTTGAACCCCTAGATCTAGCCATGCAAAAGCTTTCATGCCTAAAAATCTATCACTAGATACTTCTTTTACATTAACCAATATATTCTCTGAATACTTCATTTTTCATGTAATAGAGAAGCTTTAGCTAGTTTAAGGTGGATTTTTAGTCTTTCACTAGCAAAGTCCCTACCCAAATGATGCACAGGCTGACCCCGTCCTCCGACCACGTAATCCCGAGAGGAGGCCCTTTAATAGCAGGCTGCATGCAGTGCTGAGATCAATAGCCAGATGTTCTCCATCTCTTTGGACAGGAAATGGATTGTCAAAAACAAGTGAGAACAAGAAGACATTCTGGGACATGGGCAGTTTATCATGAGATTTCATTCCATATCTCCGGGCTTTAGTTTTCCCGTTTGTATAATAAGAAGAATGAATTATGCTATCTTTAAAATACTTACAACACTCACTCTATGATAATCTATGATCCAGGTTTTAAATTTTTTCTTGTTTATATTAAGTTTCATATTCTAATCTAACCTAATAGAGTATGTTGGCACATTCTGTTTTGTTTTGTTACTGATTACAATTGTATAAATATTAACAGCAAAATGTTTTGCTATCGTTACTATTCTATATTGATATGACTCTCAAACAGTAAAGGCCTATCTAATGAATCAAACCATAATATACTATAAAACTTAAAATTACATGCAAATGTGAAATAATAAGCATAATTATTACTTCGCTATTAGTTTTATGGTCATTTTGTTAATTCATCAGTACTGTTATAAAAGGAAAGGCAGAGGAAACAAATGATAATGAACTTCAAATCGCATACTTCTGAGATGCTCTTCTGGAAACACACGATAAAGAAAGCTTACTAAGGAATCAATTCAATTTCACTGAATAAACTCTTTCAATTCTAATTGACTTGACTAATAGAAAATTACAATAGCATGCTAACACAGGTGTATTTTTACAGCATTTTTTAACTCCAAAAAGTCCTTCCACTGCCTTTTTTATAAGAACCTCTAAGAAGTTTACATTGGTTATCACTGAGGCATTCATAATTCAAGATGGGTTAGAGTTCCGAGGTAGAGCAAGTTGGGAACTATACAATTTCTCAAAACTTGGAATCAAATTGGACACCATAATACTTATTTTCTGTTTCTTGCTGATTTCATGCAATACTTGCTTTGTTTGAGCAACCACTAAAAACATAACTTCACAAAGATACGATCTCAGTGAAAGAACTATGGTGATCTGACATTAAACATGAATTATATGGAACTAACATTGAAACTGCGAATTATGTCAAGGTCTGTCCGATAGACGTTTATAAGCAACTCAGTCGATGGGACTTCGTTGCAGCTGCTGAACTTTTAAGAAACCAAGATTTACCAATAATTTATATTTTATCTTATTTCCTTTAACATTAACTCAGTAAATTCTATTTCCTTTAACATTAACTCAGTAAATTCTATCAATCTATCTACACACACACACACACACACACACACACACACACACACACATAGCAATGAATACTTTTTCTTAATATTTAAGCATTGATGATTTCAAAAGACTGTCTCACTTACTTACAGAATCCCTGCCTGCTCCCTTTCCTCTTTACCATGAATTCCTTGTCCAGGTCAATCCTGACGATCAGCTGTGATTATTTACCTCCTGTCCCACTTGTTGCTCTTCTACTTCCCCTTAAGTATTTCCTCCTGCAGTTTTCTTCCTCTAGTTCTTTAACATGCAGTTCCCACACTCTTGAGCCAGTAAAGCATGCCTTGCTTATGCCCTTATGATACTTTCAGACAGCTCTGTGTGGTATTTCCTCTGTGTTAAGCTACACTGCAAGACAAGTTGAGTGCGGCTGCTTTTTCTTTTTTTTCCCAAAGTGCTAGAATAGGCTCAAGGTGAATATCTATTGGTCCTTTGTTTTCCATTTAGGATTTAAAAATTTTTTAAAATAAGTATTTGCAAAGGGTCTGTGGCCCCCTCTATGCTACCCTCATGCTCTTCCTGTGAGGTTCAGATTTCCTCCCTTGGTCAGTGCTGTTGCTCATTCTTGGAGCAGTTAGGATTTTTCAGCCTATGTTGTTTGTGTACTACAAATCATCTTTACATAATGAATTTTCCTTTCAAATCCCTAAGTCATTTCAATAACTTATCTTTAAGAATAGGAAGCAGGAAAAAAGTTTGGCTGTTTCTTATGAAGTTAAACATACGTTACCTTGTGACCTAGGAATTTTACTCTGATATTTGCCAAAGATAATTCTAAACCCATGTCACAAAAATATTTCTACAAGAAATAGTAGCTTTATTCATAACAGCCCCCAAATGGAATGATAAGCATCCTGAGTGTCCAACAGTATTAGAACAGCTAAACATTTTTTTAGTATATATTCATACAACAGAATGCTACCAGCAATAGAAAGGAACAAACCATTGAAACACACAGCAGCATGGATGAATCTTACTGATATCCTATTCAGCAAATGAAGCAGGTTCAAAAAAGTGTATATTGTATGATTCCATTTACTGTGCTTTGTAGATATTAGGTTTTGTACAATTTGAAGGTTGATGGCAATCCTGCATCAAACAAGTCCATTTGCACCATTTTTCCAACAGCATGTGCTCACTTTGTGTCTCTGTGTCACCTTTTGGTAATCCTCACAGTATTTCAAATCTTTTCATTATTATTATGTCGTTGTCTGTGATCAGTCATCTTCGATATTACTAGTGTCGGTGTTCTGGGTGCCATGAACCACACCCACATGAGACAGTGAACTTAATGCATAAATGCCGTGTGTGTTCTGACTGCTCCACTGACCAGCCATTACCCCTCGCTCTCCCGCTCCTTGGAAATTTCTACTCCCTGAGACAAAACGACATTAAAATTAGGACAATTAATAACTGTACAATGACATCTAAGTGTCCAAGTAAAAGAAACAGTCATATGTCTCTCATTTTAACTCAAAAGCTAGAAGTAAAGCTCAAAAGCTAGAGGAAGCTTAGTGAGGAAGGCATGCAGAAAGCTAGGCCCCTTGAGCCAAACAGTCAGCCAAACTGTGAATGCAAAGAAAAAGTTCTTGAAGGAAATTTAAAAGTGCTACTCCAGAGGCCAGTGCAGTGGCTCAGGCCTGTAACCCCAGCACTTTGGGATGCTGAGGTAGGAGAACTGCCTGAGCCCAAGAGTTCAAGACCAGCCTGGGCAATAGCAAGACTCTGTCCTCTACAAGAAATAAAAAATTAGCTAGGTGTGGTGATGCACACCTGCAGACCCAGCTACCTGGGATGCTGAGGCAGGAGGATTGTTTGAGCCCAAGATCTGGAGGATGCAGTGAGCTATAATGATGCCATTGCATTCTAGCCCAGGCAACAGAGTGAAATCTTGTCTCGGGAAAATTAAATAAATAAATAAGTGCTACTCCACTAATCACAAAAATGATAAGAAAGCAAAAGAACCTTACTGTTGATATGGAGAAAGTTTTAGTGGTCTGGACAGATCAAACCAGCCTCAAACTTCCCTTAAGCCAAGGCCTAATCCAGAGAAAGGTCCTAACTTTCTTCAATAACATAAAGGCTGAGAGATGTGAGAAAGCTGCAGAAGAAAAGTCTGAAGGCAGCACAGATTGGTTCATGAGGTTTAAAAAAAGAGTCTGCTTCCATAATATAAAAGTGCAAGGTGAAAATGCTACATGTGCTGATGTAGAAGCTGCAGCAAGTTATTCAGAAGATCTAGCTAATATCACTGATAAAGGTAGCTATGCTAAACAACAGATTCTCAGTGTAGATAAAATAGCCTTCTATTCAAAGAAAATTTC